TAACATCAACTAATCCACGAAATTGCGCCACCGTACACAATTGTCTTCAGTGAGCTGATATCTCACAACAGATCTTGTTGAACTCCACTGGTAACGGCTTCTCACTAGAACTCCAGGAAATGCCTCTTGAAGTCAGTCACTATTGAGCAGATGATTATTATCGGTAAGGGGTTTTGTGGAGATTTTTTTTAGAAATTTCATTGCCTCCTGGTTTTCCATAGTTGTCTAGCTTTAATAGACTCATGATTTCAACTATTGAAATTTCTAAAAAATCTCCACAAAACCGTTTACTGATAATATCAAACATTCTTGTTAGTTTGCATAAGTATCATCATGGTATTTTATAGTGTTGCTATGATAATCCATATTGTTTTTAATAAGTGGTAATCTAAAAGATATACAATTATCAGACGTTCGGTGGCGCAACTTCGTGGATTTGTTGAAGTTAGACATTAACATCGTTGGATGCCGGCCGGCTTAGTGGTCTAGTGGTTAAGTGCTTGCGCGCGAAACCAGTAGGTCCTGGGTTCGAGCCCCGTGTGGTGCGGGATCGTGGATGTGCACTGCTGAGGAGTCCCATATTAGGACGAAACGGCCGTCCAGTGTTTTCAGGTTTTCAATGCTGGTCTAGCCTCAACTGACTCATGATTTCAATCTGTGAAAGATATACAATTATTTACATATAAACATTTCAATAGCTCTTATAAACTATCGAATTCATCTTTGTCAAATACACTTTATTTTTGATTATTGTATAAATTAAACTTTTATATCACACACTCAAATTGCTATCATAGTGGGAATAATGAAATTTCCCGCTGGTTTCTTATATCTTTTATTATTAGTTTAATTATATGAGGAAACATATCTTAGATATACAAGTGGAAATGTGAATAATGATTTTCAAGATAATGATCATGTTGTTACTAACAATGACAGATTTTCAAATCATTATTTAATTTAAAATATAAAACTAGGGATTAATATAAATAGGAATAAATTCAATTAAAAATCAGTCAAAAAAATTGTAAAATGAATAATGGCTCAATTTCGTGAATTGGTTGAAGTTAAACATTAATATCGTTGGATGCCGACTCAGTGGTCTAGAGGTTAAGAGTTCGAATGCGAGATTGATCAGTCCTTGGTTCGAATCTCGTGGGGTGGAATCGTGGATGCACAATGTTAATGAGTTTCATACTAGAATGAAACAGCCGTCCAGTGCTTCCTGGTTTTCCATGGTGGTCTAGCTTCAATTGACTCATGAATTCATGTATAAAAAATTAATAGTTGATTATTTTCTCTATAAGGAAATTTAATATACTATGCCTAGAATAATGGATTGTGCTAAATTAGAGACATTCAGGTTTTAAAATTTGAATTCAGAACATTTGTTTTGTCTCATCTGGGACTTATCAGCTGGATGCATCTGCTAATCTTAATATTAAAACTCAAACTCGCCCCCAAATGCCCTGGTACGGCCAAGAGTGCACAGAGTCCGCCCTCCCTCTCGAAATACTCTCACATGGCCACGTGCATACAACCACTACCAGGGAAGTCCTACTCACTGCATTCTCATAGTATTACTGTTGTTTATGAAATCGAGAAGACGAAAATCGAACGTCCGACGCTTTAACCGGGTTGGTGGATATGGAGAGTCCACCTAAGAGAGTTGGAAAACCCTCATTCCAAACCAATGGTGCACATGGGCTGGCTCCAGTATCCTGAGAGAACAAATGGCGTATGAACCAATCGTTCGTCACCGGCTACCATGTGACTGCATCTCCTCCTTACGATACTCCACTGCCTTGTGTATCAGACTTGTAGGTCGAATGTTCCGGATGTGTCCTCATATGGGAACCACCTGCTTCAGTTTTGGCACCCGTGCAGTATCACAGCCCCCAAACAAATCAAGTGACAGTTGTGTGGCACATATATATTTGGTGCCTTCTTGTACCAATATCTATGTGTTAAAATAAATAAATAAAATAAACTCAAACTCTGTACCTGTAGTTTCAAATTCCACCTTGTTCTGAAATAAGCTCTCCAGTCCAGTCTTGAATATAACAAGGATGTGTAAGTTCTTCAATGAGAACTGAATCATTAGAGTAGTTATGCTCAAAATTTAATTATTGCTATAGAAAAGGTGTTTAAACTATTCATCACTAACCACTTGTATATATATTTCGATTGACAAATCAATTATATGTTTCATCATGTCATTATTCAATGGTCCACTAAATGTTGTCAATCAGTGAAGAAACTTACAAAGTTTTAAATGAATATAGGAAAATATTTAAATGATAAATGAAGACAGAAGGATTAATAAAATCAGTTTTCATTTCATAACTTGTCCACAGGATTGTTTTTAAGCTGAGACATGAAATCAGCCAATGGAACTCATTAACTATATATTGTGAATAGTCGAAGATTGTATTAATGTGATCATTGATGTTTATGTGACAATGAGAATTTATGTATAGTGTTTACAATATTTGATCAGTGAGAGTAGTAACTAATCTAATATTCTTTTCATCCTTGCTGAAGATTGAATTCAGTTGACCAATTATCATGGTTGCTTGTAGTCTAAATGACTCGATATCTTGAGCACTACTTACTTGATTTTGGCTGGTTGAAATCAAGTGACAGAAAACTTTACCTGACTAAGCTTTTGAGCCAGTTATCACCCATCAAACAGGTATACCTATAATCTTGTGGGAACTGGTGTTCCTTATGATCAAAACGTGATGTGATTAGTAGTATCAGTGTGTCACGATTCCGATTCACTGAAACAATCAATGTTGGAATTATGTACGCCTACAAGTTCCATATAGAATATTCATTACGTTAAAACTTGATCATATTAAACACGTGTTACAACAATATTTCTGACTTCTTTCTGAAACTATTCACAGTTCATAAAATAATTGAAACTTAGATTATATAAAACAAACCAATCATCAATAAATATTCAAATGTCAATCAGTCAGTCAGCTACAACGTAGGACCAGGCACATATATGCATCAGTTCAAGTTGTCACACTTCATTGGCACAACAAGATAAGAGGTATAAAGTTGATTTTTGATACTAAAGCTTTAGTTGCTATCAAATTAACATTGAAGGAAGCCTAAGTAAGTTAAATGGTGTTACTATTTCATGACTGATTGAGCAAAATATAAACGCTCATCTCACGCTTTTTCTCTCGTTTAATTTCCACAATATTTCGCTTTGCTTTTTAACTTCAGGATAAAATAATTGGATGTCAAATTGGATGCTTTTTAATTAAACAAACATGTGAAAATCAACCAAATCAATGTAGTAATTCTATGTATTTAATGAATGATCTCAACTATACATCATCAATTAATCAGAATAACCAAACACAATATAATGAACTAAATTATCCAATGGTTAATGATTGTGTAAATAATTGTCAATTAGATGATAATTGTAAAACCTGTTGTGAATCTAAATGTCATCAACTACATACAGATGTAAGTCATTTGGTTTATTTTTCTGAAAGTAGATTTATCGTTAAAATATAAACTTGTAACTAAGACAATGTTTGTTACTAAATATTGAATTACTCTTTGAAACGCTTCCCTTGTGATTTACCTCGATGAGTAAGATTTACTGGTATACAGTTAGGTTGGAAGAAAGCTAGAGGTGTCTGAATCAAAACAGGGAATCAGTCTTCGAAACGCATGATTATTGAACTATGCTATGTTATTACGTTCAGCCTATCATCTGTAGAGCAACCATGATCAGTGGTTGGAGAAGTTACGTGAGATGCCTAAGAATAAATGTATTCGCATCTTACTTTCAGTGGATCTTGAGTTATTTACTTTTAATTAACTACTTTTATACACAACAGATTATTATGTCTGTCGACATAAGTAGTATGTAACACCGATAAGAAGTGATATGCCTGACAGCAGAAGGTTAAGTAGATCGTATTGGAGAAAACAGAAGGAGAAATAGAAAGGAATTGTGAATTGGAATAATTATACAGAATGTAAAGGACGAACAGTGGAAGAATTGCACATAAAGCATTTAATGTATGGTTCTCAAATCTTGTCAATATATTCTGTAATTTTGTATGAAGTAATAAATTGGTTATACCCAAAAAGGGCCGGAGGTAAGTCATCTGGGTTTGGTGATTTGTAGCACTTCAAGATTTGGAGTTCCTTGCGGACTTCCACCTTATTTGGTGGATTAGTCATCACCGGGCATAGAGGGCAGGACAGTCCTCCTGCAACATCGGTCGGACTGGTTGGAAATTGCGGAGAGGTGGTCAATGTATGACGTGGTGTCGTTGTATGAAAGAAAGCTGCAAAGGACTGGCTTCTGTTGGTCCCTCACAACTCCCTGGCTGGGGTCCTAGAGATGGTGCTAGAGACGTTATCAGATATGGCTCAGAATAGATGCCAATGGTGATCCTGCCGTAACCTTTTACTTTCTTCATAAAAGTGGTTGTATCTTAATTAACTGAAAGACTTCTTCTGATTGTACCTTTCCGTTTCCCCCATTATTATTATTATTGTTGTTATTATTATTATTATTATTATTATTATTATTATTATTATTATTATTATTATTATTATTATTATTATTATTATTACATTACGTTACACCGATCTGTTCGTCCTTACCTTATTTTTTTCTCTTCGAATTCTCACTGTTTTGTGTGGCGCATATATATTTGGTGCCCTTTTGTACCAATATTTATGTGCTCAAATAAATAAATAAATATACCCACTACGTCTTCGTTCACTACAGTAAAATTAGTAGCAGTGACAATAGTATTCGTAATATGTCAAATATCTTCACTTTTAATATACTGTTTAACAAATCGATCACATGTTATTGAAAGTAATTCCCATGTTTTATTGGTTCTGTGTGTGTACAAATGTATATTCTCTATACTGATGATGGGTAGTCTACTTTAAGGACACAAAAATATACCTATTTTGTATTTGATTGTTCTTTAATTCGCTTAACAGAATTATCTGATTTGTTATGTAATAAACAAATGTTCACAGAAAATCATGTTACTGTTAAATCAATGATCTTTTATTAACTGAACATTTTTGACTTACATAGCATTAAACTGTCACTAGAGACCAGAAAGCACAAGATAGGTGTTTCGTCTTAATATGAATGGTCATAGCTGTATGCATACATGATCTCGTCAGGGATGGAACGTAGAACGTCAAGACTTAGAAACAAGTACTTAATCTTAAGTTCAACAAGGTGAGTATTCAAAGGTTTAAGTTTATAATTTCAATCATGATCAGTGATTAATATCTCAAACCAGATATAGCTGAATTCTAATGAACATGAAGATTTATTCTGGAAGTTAGTAAATAGTGAGCATAATATGAGAATTTTTTTTCAGTTAAACAATAAAATTAATGTACTTCTGATAAGAAAATTAAATTTCAAAAGTTAGTCATAATACTTAATGGTGAGAAAACTACAGATCGTTATAGTGTTCCAGATGAAATGGTATAATTGAGATTATTTTACTAGGTTGGTGGCATACACTGCTTTGTTGCATACTGATGTATTTTTATTTATTTGAACACGTAGATATTGGTACAAGAAGGAACCAAATATATATGCGCCACACAAATCAAATGAGATTTGTGTTAGGGTTGTGATACTACACGGATCGACTTAGAATACGCAGATGACATAGTCCTGTTTGGTGAAGACGCTGACAAAATGCAGAATCTTCTGGTAGCACTGAGCAACAATGCCAGGATGTTTGGAATGCGCTTCTCTCCCTCTAAATGCAAGTTGTTGCTTCAGGACTGGTCTGCGTTAACATCTGAACTAAGGATAGGGAGTGAAGTGGTCGAACGCGTTGACAACTTCACTTATCTTGGAAGTCTGATCAGCCCTAATGGGTTGGTATCGGACGAAATCTCAGCACGGATTCGAAAAGCTCGTTTGGATTTTGCCAGCTTACGTCACCTATGGCGAAGGCGAGATATCCGTCTATCAATAAAAGGACGAGTATACTGCGCGGCAGTCCGTTCTGTTTTAATTTACGGCAGCGAAACATGGCCATTAAGAGTAGAAGACACTCGTAAGCTATTAGTATTTGACCACAGATGCCTAAGAAATATTGCTGGCGTCTGCTGGGATAACCGGCTAAGTAATAGTGAGGTTAGACGCAGGGTATTAGGAAAGGATGGTAAATCAGTTGATGAGGTTATGAATCTTCATCGACTGAGATGGTTGGGCCACGTGTTACGTATGCCTGAACACCGATTACCACGACGTGCAATGCTATCCGGTATTGGAAATGGTTGGAAGAAAGTTAGGGGCGGCCAAACCAAAACGTGGCATCAGTGCTTGAAGTCACTAACTTCTAGTCTGAGCCATGTTGGTAGATGCAGACTACTTGGTTGGGGTCCGCGTGACTATCGTAACCAATGGTTGGAGACTCTTGGTGACATGGCTCAGAATCGATCACAATGGCGTCGGTGTATACACTCCCTGTCTTCCCTTAAACTATGAGATTAAAATCGCTTCATATCTTCCTTTCTACGAACCAATTCTTTCTGCTTGTACTATATCTCTATATGCAATCTTTCTCATATATTACCACCTTTCACCTAACCACTGTTATGAATCTGGTGTTCATCTTGTTGTGTTGATGCGGTATGGCAACCTGGACCGATGCACATATGTGCCTGGTCCTACGTTGTAGCTGACTGACTGACTACACGGATGCCAAAACCAAACCAAGTGGTTCTCACATGGGGTCACACCCGGATCCTTCGACCTACAGTTCTGATACACAGTGGGGCATCGTAAGGAGGAGATGCAGTTCCATGATGACCGGTGACCAATAATTGGTTCATATGCCATTCGTTCTCTCAGGATACTGGAACCAGCCCATGTGCACTATTGGTTTGGAATCAGGACCCATGACTTCTCTCAGATTATCTTCGACTACATGAAAAATCCATATATATAACAGGTCTTAGATTTTGGCGCGAAATTCGCTCATCCATTTGGTTAACCATCAACTGAAAATCACAATTAAAATTCCTCATTTGGTCTTGTTTATTAGGTAAACACTCTCGTGGTCAGTCTAGCGTCGCTCAAAAGTCGTTCATAAATTCGTCTCATCGAAATAACTTCTTAATTGATATCACTTCGGATAATAACTCACAGATATAGATTACAATGTCTATGGTCACATATATTTTCAACTTGTCAAATTTATACTAAAGATGTAACTTGAATTTTTACGAGTTTTAAATAGAACACTGTAAAACTAATTAACTACATGATCATAACTTTAGTATTTTTCTTCTGCCCTCGTTTTTACTTAGTCCATCTACAATGAACTTGTCCCACCTCGACCAGTTCATTTGAACTCTACCATATCTTCAACAAATACTAATATTATCAAATTATCATGGTCTGTACAATATCAAAATATAACTAGCACAATGAATCCAATTGTGTTTATATTACAAATACGAATATGTATTTGTAAGGTGTTTGATGAAAATTATGCATCAACATGGCAAACATTAATTATGGTAAGTATTTAATAACACTAATGTGATATTTATAAATCTTTGCTATCATTCTTTTGAGTTCATGTCTATAATTTACAAACTATTAAGTGGATTAATTTGATATCTAATTCCTTGAAATAACCCCGATGATTATTGTTTGAAATTTTAATCATCTTATGGTAAAGAATAATATGTTTCTCCAGTTAACACTACATCACAATTTTAGACACTGAACTTCTATCCCAGATGATGTTACACTAAGACGTTCCTTTAGAAGTAATTGTCAATCAACTTGTTGAGCATTTCTAGTCATTAGAGATTAAAACCAAACCATTTTACTTGTATCATTGTGGTATATAGACTAACTAATGATTCATTTGTACTTGATTGCCCGCTGAATACATATGTCGATACAATACGTTCATTTGTGTTCATCTAGTGCTGTCTTTCTTAAATAGCACTATATCGGAAATTTTCAATTACAATATCAATTCAAATACTTCTAATTATTATATTCATTGACATAGAATTATATTTAATCGAACATCAGATCTGATTTCCTCTATGAACTCACTATCACTAGAGTAAAACCAAAATCATGATACATCAGAATCATCAGATCATAGATATGAGAGTTTTTATGTCTGGGAAGATTCTTATACGTTGAAAATATTATTATTCCAGTTTCCATAGATGAGAATGAAATTCAATAACAAATGGTTATACGAAAAATCAAACATCTGTCCAACTGAATACAATTTGTGGAAAATGTAATCTATTCTAATGATTATTCTTCATGTATATATATAGAGGTGTGTATGTATGTATGTATTTTTGATTTGCGTAAATTTTTAGACTCATGAATTTGGAGCAAATCTTGAAGCATTTGAACCTGGACGACTGTATCAATTTCGTATTGCTGCTGTCAGTATTCACGGTACTAAAGGATTTGGTTTAAACACAAACGCTTATCCTAGAGATCCAATCAGACCATCACCACCAGGATCACCTAGAAATGTAACCGATTCAATGTGGAGATTATATTCATCTGGTAAGATAAGTCTTCTACTAAAATGGCAGGCACCGGTGCGAAGTGATCTACCATTAACAGAATATTTAGTAAGTTGAAATTTACTTCCTCTGAATGTCCTAATAGTTTATCCATTTATAAGTGGAAATTGTTGAATATATATCAACAAGATCTCTTAATCAATCATTTATTTCATCATTTCTTTCGATTGATAGATAACTTGGTCTATTGATCATGGTTACTTACATACGGATGGACAAACACTAGAAGCTCTTATTCAATTCACTCAAACTATCAATGCGGTAAGATAAACTTGCAAAAGTATGTTTTTTATTAGTGCGCTAATTTATTGTAAACTGAAAAGACATACAACAGTAATATTCTATGCAAGACAGGGTTTCTGATAGTACAATGTATTTGAAAAAACAGTTAGTCATTTGATAGTTGCTCAGTTTAGCGGTTTGACGAGATAATTCAATTAGAAGATAGTGTTCATTGAGGTTGATATTAGTTAGTTTGGTTTCGAATACAGTAGTACTCTGGATGTTTGTATCATTACTGTTCAGTTAGCATCCATGATGTTACATGGAATAAAAATACAAACTCATAGTTAACATGAAGAATCCTTTGCTTTTATACCACTGAGTCGTAATCTGTTCGTCGACATTTTCCAACTGTAGTCAATTCACGAAATACCCTAACAAATCAATAAGTAGTATCGTTCGATAACTTTCTCTCTCTCAACACAGAAGAACTACACTAGTGTCGCAAATTAATTATCAATATACACTGAATAATCACAAATTACATTGAAACACCAGCCCACTTGTTTTTGGTTTCTATGATCGTCTAACCAAACTAGTTGTAGCAACTAGAAACACGTTAAATAAATTAAGAAAATTGAACATTTTATTTGTTGATTATTTTAACTTACGTACCAATGAAAGTAAGTTGTTCAGTTAAGTCATTATTACATCAGGATTCATGTTCAAACTGTTGGTTATTCTTATAAGCAAAGATGGATAGTGGCTAGCAGTGAAATCCAGGATGCAAGTTTCGTCCTATTTGGGACTCGTCAGCTGGATGGTTATTCTTTATGCGACAATCATTCATAGTCAAATAATTCCCTCTGTTATTGTAAGATTTTGTTGCATACGTAAAAATAACGGATAATTTTCATACGATACTGAAGGCGTTCTAGGAAAAAAAAAATAAAATAACTGTTTTCTACTGAAACTTTACTTTCATGATTATCGAATAAATCAACTTTTTTCATCAATAACTTACAGTTATGCTTCACTATAATAATGATCAATATGAAAACAGGTCTCTAGTTCAATTGTCTAGCCACCTGGTTTTTATCCATGTTGTTGCAAGTTATAACACCAACACTAATATAGGCCCAGACATTAAAATGAAGTTCAAATGTGAGATCATAAACCAGTATTTAGTAATAGAGTTGAAATTGTTTCCAACATAATAACAGACTCTCTTTGGTTGTCTTATAGATCTTGATTACACTGTCAATTAAGAGCAAAATAAAACATACAAATTTAACATAAATGATAATAAATTCACCGTGTAATGTTCGTTTGAATCTTCTCATTGATGGTTAGGACTGCAATTGATCAGTCTTTTTTGGTATATGTGCATCCTGCATGGATTGCCTCGATATTACCTTAAGTCACATGTAGTCCTAAACATTAATGGGAATATTCAAACAAACAATACTGAATGAATTTAAAACTCACCTTATTGCACAAGCAAGTAGTATTCAGGTTTCAGTAGCTTAGTGGAGATATTTAATGGCCTTTGAAGTGAACGGTACTGGATTTAAGCCCCGAGGTAAACAACTCTGGAATGTAGGTACTAACCATCATCCATCTTTGCTTATAGATGATGATAGTTTATTAGCAGTTCAAATAGAGCTTAAGCCTATGATTCTAACATATCTAGACAAATCTGTAGTATATTTTAGTAAATAAACCTTTTTATTTAACTTGCTCCAATTTAAATTTAGGAACGAACAGAGTGTATTTTGGATAATTTAAAACCAGCAACTTCATACAAAATTCAAGTAAGTGATATTATGTTATTTTGAAATCATTCAGTAATGTAGATTCTTCTAATATTTTAGACAAAGATCATGTAAGTAGTAATATATGGAAATATTGGTTCATGAGCATTTTGATAGGACGAATTCTGTATGACTAATTGTGATCATCGTTGATCTGTTCGGGGGGGGGGAAGCAATCAAATAACCGAATTAAGCAGTTTTAGCTTCATAATGGTTGGGCTCCCAGTTAATGTAAGACATCTCAATGATTGAACCCATAGTAAATCCAACGTTTCTCTCGGAAATCTGTTCCAGTCTTTTTCAATGACATAAATAAATATATGGTGATTCAGTTAACTGTATACTGTATAGAATCATGTTAATAATGTTGAAAATTAGATTAACTGTAGCGTGTATGAGACATTCGATGTGAAAATTGCAAGAAAACGTGTCAAGATAATGGTTGTCGGTATGTGTTAGTTAATTTGATGTGCGAAACATTTCGCCAAATTAATGATTTTTGATGAAATTAGATCATGCCTTTGAACAGGTCACAATGGTTCAGATGCATTCACCATTTTTCTTATTCTTCATATTGAGTCCTAGTTTTATTTCATTTAAATCATTTTATTCTAGCATTTTACAGTGTTTAGCCTTGTTCATTATTATTATTATTATTATTATTATTATTATTATTATTATTATTATTATTATTATTATAATCTTAACTCATTTATTATTCACTTTGATGATTTCATCTCGTTGTACTCATGTCGTATAGCGTCTTGAGTCAACTCAGATTTATTCTAGAAATAATTGATTTTTGATTGAGATCTTGAACCAATTGATGTTAGACCATCACAATTGAAAACCTGGAAGCACTGGACGGCCGTTTCGTCCTATTGTGGGACTCCTCAGCAGTGCGCATCCACGATCCCGCGAGCGGGATTCGAACCCAGGGTCTTCGGTCTCGCGCGCGAACGCTTAACCGACTGGACCACTGAGCCGGCATCCAATGGTGATAGTTTCTAACATCAACCAATCCACGAAATTGCGCGACCAACTTCCATTGTACTGAAGTAGATAACTGTCTCTACCCGACAAGGATTAGCTCCACTGAGGAGTCCCACAATAGGACGAAGCGGCCGTCCAGTGCTTCCAGGTTTTCAGTTGTGATGGTCTAACATCAATTGGTTCAAGATCTCAATCAAAAACTTAATGATCTCCACAACCCCTATACTAGAAATAATTGATTAACTGGTTTTTGATCTATTTTGAATATGAAAATTAATTATCATAAATAATCTTATTCTTTTCATTTGGATTACGGTGTTTAAGTTCAAAAATGCTTCCCTCAACGACAAAGGGTAATTTACGGTCACTATGTATATGTGAGAGTACTAAATAATAGTAACTTTAAAAAGCAGTATAAAAGGGGTTTCTTATTTTGCTCATCGACAGACAATGCAGTTAGATCAATTTTACTCAGATGTATCAACAATAATAACACTTTATCCACTTCCGGTTTTTGAAATCGGTAAATTTAACTGTTGTGTTTCGAACAGTATAAACATGCTTTTAGGATTTTACCACTATTTACTGTCATATAATTTAGTCAATTTTCGACTACAGATAATATCGTGTCATTCTCTCAAGTTTGTTATTTGTTAATAGACAATAATCACGTACAAATTGTAAATACAAATAGATGGAAAGTACGAAATGTTAAAAATAGTGATAGGTACTAATATTCGTATATATGTGTGATTCTATTTACTGTGTCAGGTGAGAGCAATATCTTATTGGCATGGATTTGGTAATTTAGAATCGCAACCAAATACAATATTTCTTTCAACTCAATCTATTCATCCAGCATTCCATCAACAAATTGTTAATCCAGTACAAATCTATGCTACACCAAATACAAGTATGTCTATATGTAGTATAATATGAAAAGATGAAAGGAGTATTTTTTACGATAAATATTTGTATTCTCTTGTAATGCTGACCGTGTTGAAAGGCCACAAATATCCCTTGATAAAGTCTCTAGAGGTCCAGAAAATAGCTCAAGACATTTTGTGCAATCAACATTGAGTAGAAACTTATCAGAAACATCTATAAAATGAAGGAGTATGTATCACGTTTTGATTGGATAATTTCCCATACTGTTACTATATTTAGTATAGTTTTGAAAGTTTCTGGAAGATTAAGTTCCTATGAAACCATTTAACTACACTGGATTTCCTGTACATAGACTAACTTTGAAGTAAAGCCCTTACTTATACTTTGGGCCTTTCCTTTGTTGTTCAAGTTCGAGCATAATAGCTTGGGGTTATATGCAATTGACGAAGGTCAACTCTAGCAGTTTTTTAAAAGCTTCAACATACTGTGACATTGTGCTACACATCTTAGAGTTTTACATGAGTTGGTGTTCATGTAGAAATAAATCAATACAACATGATGCAATTCTTTGCACAAGGCTGTAAATTCCACTCATGAATTAGGTTGTACAGCAGTTTAAGATACCAAGGTGAAGTATGCACTTATGAACCAGTATCTTACAGTTGAGTGTTTAGAGAGTTGATCACTAGATTCACTGAACTTAAACATTTGCCTGTACTTTAGAGTATTATATATAATCTTTGGATTTACAATTAATTCATTTGTATACTTGTTCAAGTGTCTGTTTCGAATTATTCTGTTTTAGTCAAATTACCAACAGAATTTACGTTTAAATCCAAATCATCAAACTGTGAATGTAGCGATGGTCCACAACCTCTAGTGTTGAAGAAGATATTCTATGAAAATCATAACTTAAAGGCTGTACTGCAAATTAATATGAGTAAGTTTCGTTGTATTCTTCCACTTTATTGACATTTTTCTGTGTGAGCATCAGTAGCTATCACCCAGTCACATCAGGAGGCATAAGGGTTTTGTGTAATTGTATGATGTTCTATATGAACACTTAACTAGACATGTGGTTACTGAGATTCTCTCTTACGCTTTAGTTTCATAATATTTGTGTAGCTATCTCGTTTACTTGTCGTTTGTAGAAATAGTTACACAATGATGATCGATTTTACATGCGGATGAGAGGTGTTTATGAATGTTGTTCAGTTGTAATCGTAGAGTTAAAGACAGTTTATCACCTGGGTAATTTTAGATAATGCAATGAGAAGGTCACAATTATCAGAACTATGTAATGTGTCAACCCAAAACATTTCGAAAAACGCGGCCACACATTTGTTTGTAAAGCCATTTACATATATCTAATAAAAGAATAAGACGAATTGGAAGATTAGCATTTTACAAAGATAATAACAAAGCCAATGTAAAACATATCACTGAATAATAAATCAATAAATCATAGAACTTATCACTGACTGATTAAGTGCAATAATGTAACGTCAGTTATGGGAATTCAAGTTATCATATCAATTGCTTTACAGATTAAAGGGTTGTGGCTACTGTTAGTAATTAGGTTGATCATGGGTGAAACATTTAACGATATACTTTACTAACAAATTTTTATCTGTTTGTCTGTCGTTTCTTTCTTATTTGACATAGCTATAAAGACGGAAAATACAACAATAATCCAGTGGTATCCACAAGTATGTATTGATTCGAATAATCCTATATTGGATACATTACCTTCAACAATCTTATTAAAATCTAAAGTATGTTCAATTCAAATGTTAATTCATTGTTAGTGTTAATGTTCTAGAGTGCTTTTTTGACATGGACTGTATCTGAATGAAAGGAAAAATACGATTAAGATATTGACAAGTCATAGTTAATTCCTATTCCTAAAGATAAAATTCAAAATGGGAGTGGCTAGCGATGTCTTGAATGGTAGATGAGCGAGGGGAGATCACAGGTCATCCTTCGCAGCTAATTATGCATCGACATATTCTAGTCGACAACGGATATCTGCTCAGACATAGGATAAGTTAACTAAGTTAGCCTCTCCGATGCCCATCGAAAAATTTAGCTGTATCTCCGGGGGTTGTTAAATTGAGCGTGCGACTAGGAAACAACCAGCAAGTGGCTAAACATCTCCTAATGTAGTTCGGAAAGGGAAAAGTTAAGTTTATACTCAACTCTATCTTGACACATCTGGTTGACAGTGGTCAATGATAGATAAAAATAAATCATTTCAAGTGATCTATCGTATCTCTTCGTCCTTTCCCAGTGCCATTTGATCTCGTCTCCTACACAAATCAGCAGCTAGTAGAATCCGAATTCATAACCCTAGTTTATGTGTTCAGAAGCTCGTGACACCCTTGTCTTTACCTTGACCAAGTTTGATTTAATTGGGGATTGTATCAATTTTTTTCACATCTCGTACTTAGTTGTGGCTCTTCCTCTCCCCTTATTTTTACACACTTATTACTGTTTTGTGTCTATTTCTTTAAAGTTGTTTATACCCTGTATTAGCACAGCAATCGCTCTCCGATACATTATTCATCCATTCCATTCATTCTACTAAGAAAATTTTACATTGGATCAAATTATTGATCGAGATCATGAACCAATTGATGTTGGACCACCATGGAAAACTTGGAAGCACTAGACGACTGTTTCGTCCTATTGTGGGACTCCTCAGCAGTGCGCATTCACGATCCCGTCTCACGAGATTCAAACACAGGATCTATCAGTCTCGTACGAGAGCACCTAACCATTAGACCACTGGGCCGACCGGCGTCCAATGGTGTTAATGTCTAACCTCAATCAAATTGCCAGGCAAAATGTTGGATTTACTTCAAATCCATTTGTCGAAATTTTACAAATACATTCTTCCCCCTTAACGTTATTCAAAACCATTAAAATGAACAACGTTGTTAAAAGTCGGGAATTTATGTCTACTTTTTTCATTAAATTCATCGAAGTTCTTTATTTCTCAACATTCTACTATAACTGAATGAACTGTATGTTATGTATTTGTATATTCTTTCCACTGAACGCAACAAGTATACAATTACATAGTCACATAGTGGGTTAATGTAGAAAATACATTCTAAAAATTACTGCCCTCAAATGACTTGGTACGGCCGAGAATGGGGAGAGTCCGCTCTCCCTCTCGAAATACACTCACATGGCCACGTGTATACAACCACTACCAGGGAAGTCCTACTCACTGCATTCTCATAGCATTACTGTTGTTTACGAAATCGAGAAGACGAAAAGCGAGCGTTCGGCGTTTTAATCGGGTTGGTGGATATGGAGAGTCCACCTAAGAGAGTTGGAAAACCCTCATTCCAAACCAATGGTGCACATGGGCTGGCTCCAGTATCCTGAGAGAACAAATGGCGTATGAACCAATCGTTCGTCACCGGCTACCATGTGACTGCATCTCCACCTTACGATACTCCACTGCCTTGTGTATCAGACTTGTAGGTCGAATGTTCCGGATGTGTCCCCATATGGGAACCACCTGCTTCGGTTTTGGCACCCGTGCAGTATCACAGCCCTCACACATATCGAATGAGATCTGTGTGGCACATATATATTTGGTTCCTTCTTGTACCAATATCTATGTGTTCAAATAATAATAATAATAATAATAATAATAATAATAATAATAATAATAATAATAATAATAAATTACTAGACCTGGAGATAAACTTACATTCAAAAACATTAAATATTTATTTCACTTCCATAGACAAATCATTTTAACATACCTTCTCCACATTTTTTTTCGCTAGGATAAAAGAGTTATATTAGAAAACCTTTATTTTAACTGTCGCTATGATGTACGAGTTCGTGTATATCCAGCAAATTTAGATGCAAAATATATAACTATGATAGAATCAGTTGTTCATGTACAAAATCAACAGTTCGATGTGATCGTTTATGTAGGATGTTTTTGCACACCGTCTTGTTCAAATGTTATAAAAAAAGAAGGTCGATTGCCGGATAATTGTATTTTACCAGGTGAGTTAATTTCAAGAATATTTTAGAATAAACAAAGTAGCTAGTCACATGTATATCGTCAGTCTTAAATGAATCAAGAGTTATGCCGTATGTAAGTGGTATTTGTCATTAACTGACCTAGGCCGAGGTACCATCGACAACGGTTTCATTTTAGTGTGTGATCGTCCATCATTACGTACCCATAAACCAGCCAGAGATTGAACACAACTCCTCCAAGTATCTGCGTGAGCTAAATTCCAAGAAATGGAAAGTGATGACTAATGAGATCGGGCCATGATTAGTGATTACCAGTCATACCAGATAATCAACCTACTACCTCATAATGTGATCGGAGTTGAAGACATGGACCATTAGTCTAAAATTAAATGATCGAAGTAGACTCGTATTATATGAGGAATGCAGTGATTAGTAGTCCCGTGATAAGATGCATCAGAAGTTCCATGTTCTCCGGTTACTGATAGTATCCCAGATGAAGCCAACTCTTCACATGAAAACTAAACTATTCAATACAAAATCCTTCCCAACAACTTAACATAGTATAGTAATGCCCTGTGTAAAGTATAATTTAGCTATAAATGTTGAATGAAATATTTTAAAAATCTCGGCAATGAAACAAAGCAACGTTTAGGACTATGAATTAGGATCTAGCTAGGTGACCGGACCATGTTAACTGAATAGGATAAAATATAAGTTTTGTAGGGTATTCGAAGATGCCAGTTCAAAAAGTTGCTGGCTGTTGGCTAATATTATTCATCAAAAATAATATAGGCCTATTGACTGAAGTCTTCTGAAATCTCAATATAAGTAAATATAGATCATCAATAACATGGCTAAAGTAGTTAGTTTTTGGGACCAAAGATGAAATGTCGGTTAACTTATCGTAAATCTTGCAGAAAATATCTATATGAATACACCAGTTTCAAGTTGAACTGGTTCGCTAATGAGGCTGATATTATTTGGTTTTGTGAGAAGTTCTTATCACTGATACGTTCGAGCTTATCAAAACTGTTATTTAGATATGAACTGTGTGCTAAGTATCAAACAGGTGAGATATTAAAGTTTGAAATTATCTTCATCAAAGTATTTGAAATCCATACAAAGTGATAATAAACTATCTGTTGGGAAGTAAATCACAAAGTGTGTTATTTAATCTTTGTTGAAGTCGATGAATTAAGTGACTGTTAATTTTGAGTACTAGTTTTTCGTTTATACTTTTAGAATTCACCTAAAAATGATCGTATACTCACATATAATTTTAGCTCTAGGACCACCATCTCCACCAACAAAAGTTCAAGTAATTCACATGAGCGATCTAAATTATCGAATATCGTGGATACAACCAATGACAACTTCAGACAAAAATGTGAACGAACATTCAAGTCTTTCTTCATCTGTCAATAAATTAAACAAAAATTCAACCAAATATCGAATAACATGGGCACCAAGAATTCAGGAACCAGTGGATGAATCAATGTATAATGATGAAATCGGTTTCAGTCCGATAATGGATTTACAACAGATTGATGTCAGAGTAATAGATAAAGTAATTGACACACGTTTATTTTTCTCACTAATGTTTATCCTGTTACTATCAATGAATTTTGTATAATAAACTATTCGATCTCAGTTGAGCTACAACATTGGAACAGGAGATTAGAATAAATTATGCTTGATTAAGAAATAAGTTGAAGTGGTACATTATTGCGGACCTGATTTCGAACGAATGGTCAACAACGGTCTCATCGTAGAAATATGTGTAGTTTAGTTGATTATTGTTATGTGAAAGTGAAAGCTTTCAATTTCCAAATAGCTTTTCTGACTGAGTAGTAACATAGTGACGAAAATTATAACTCAAATATTTACTGAAAGTGAGTCACAATGAATCGTACAAATGCTATGGACCACTTAATATTTCTGTGAAAGAAACATTCCAAACTATTTCGAGACGATTCATCTCAAATTTTACCCGATTCAACTACAAAAATGGTCTACGTAGGACATGTGTATATTTACATAAGTATCAATTTCATATCACTGGGTGAGATCAGCTGAAAAAGAAACTTGTTGTCTTAGTTTAAATCTGTTGCTTAGTAAACAGTCATCACTTATCATATAATGAAACCAAAATTTTTCACCTGTAGCTGTAACAGCAGTACCTCCATGTTGTTGACAATTTATCTAGTGATTCATATTATCTAACATCAGTTCATTCTAAATTACTACTCACCTGTTATACACAGACTTTCTTGGACACATGTATTTTAACCCTAATACTAAAGACCAAAGGGAACTTAGTCAATATAATTAAAAGTCATCTGAACTCATTATTTCCATGCTACAATGAATGATCATTGCATTAATGTGAATTAGTAAGTTCTTTAAAGAAATGTAGATAATATACCCTGGGGAAATCCAACTGTTGTCAATGTGATTATACGGAATGGGACTAGAGATATATTGAAATAGAGATGTTCATTCAAGTGAACGACGAAGTTGACTGTAGTATACCAATTGTACAGAATACTGAAATTATGATATTTATTCTTTAGAAATAGAGACAATTATTTTTACTAGTTGTACAACGGAATTTCTAGAGTGTTAATTTCATTTTTCCATTTAGGATCAAACATGGATTATATTAAACCAACTGAAACCCAACACACTTTATATTGTACATGTACAAACTTTGCTTGTTTCACATAACGGTATGGAAAGGCAAAGTGATCCAGTTTCGGTTTATTTCACAACAATTTGTGATAAACAAATGAAAAGTTCTTATTTAGGTAAGTTCTATTCACTATTTACGTGGATGATAAGAAACGTCATGGGTTCGTTTGGTTTGTTGATACTTTCACGTACAGAATGATGTAAACTGAAAAAAGTTCATTTATACCAAGAGATAGGGGAGTACTAGTTTCATTATTTGCATTTGATTATTCAACAATGTAAACCGATTACTATTAATCCATTTAGTGAAGTTAATTTATCATTAAACCAATGGACACTAACGATTTATTTTTAGATGGATAATATGGAATCCTAGTAGGAATTTATCGATAATGAAGTCAGTTAAAAGTCGAGTAGATGATTACCGATCAGGGTATGAATTTGAAAATGTGAACCACTGCATTTTAATTCAGTGGTTTTAAAATGTTTTAGGCGTCCTGAATGCTGGAAAAGCGTAAACTTAGATAAAACAACCGTCTCCAACTTGCATCGACTGTTTTCAAAGGAAACTCAACTTGAGAATGTTTCCGAAATTCTCTCGATTTGATAAATAAGCTTCACGTATGTATTACCTAGAAAGCATTTCTTTATCACCCATTTAGCTTTATATCTACATATGATTAACAGTTTCACAATTAGAAAAATTCAAATTCGCTCGTCACCCACAATTCGGTATCCAATCACTCAGTAAGAGAGGATTTCATCTAGAACGCCTTGATATATTGATGTTTCTTGCTCAGATATATTAGATATTAATCCCTTCATGATGGAAATTTTATCCTGAGTTGGGATTGATCAACAGCAAACAATCATAAATTCACACTATCACGACTCGAATTCCTTAGATCTTACAACGAAAACAGCACAGCCAAGTTAATGAGTCGCAATCAAAAGGTCCTTATTGTCGAATACAGTCAATTTACAATATATCCCGGTTATCATTCTATATCATCTGTGTTACCTATTTAACATCTGACATCTCTTTTTTTATCTCTATGTGATGAATAACAACTCCATTAACTCTTTCACAGTATGCGTTCAGTGAGTTGACAGTCAAGTCGAATTCCTATAGGTGTACCGTCCCCAAATCTCAATCAAATTAGTACATAAGCACTAGAAGACAAGTTGTCAAATGTATCCTTTATTCCTGATTGTATGCGTAAAACCCAAGATTACAATATAGCATGACTAATAAATTTCAATAAGTACTTATTTAGACCATGCTAAATAAGAATTTGTGTTACTGACTGATAGTTAATTGACTGTGATTTCTGCTAGGTAAAAAAAAAAACATTTCAACAATTAATATAGAGAGAGATAGGTCATTATTAAGTTTGAATAAATCATGTAAGAAAACAACCGATTAAGAGACAATCTTTTAAAACATACAAATCATATTACTATAAGTTCCAAACTTCTGTTTTCGTACCACATTCTACTCAATGTAAATATGGATATCCGTTCACTATATTTTGTTTTCATAATGAACATTTCAAAATCCTGCCAGTAATGATTATCATTACAAATTTAATTGTTAGATTGTTGTGTTTTTAAAGATGTGGGTATTTCATTGATTATGTTTATTTTCTTTTTGAATTATTTGTAGGTAAATACAGATCTCGAAATCTTGCACCTCAGTGTCCGACATCAGTATTCACTTATGCTCAATTTTTCATTATATTCTCAATTTTTAGCATTTATTTCTTGTAAATAAGGATAATTAATTACTGCAATTATCATCATAGTGAGACTAGTAATGTAGACTATTATTCAATGGATAGTTTTTTTTTGTCTATTTTCAACACCATCCTTATAGTGATTATTGAACATGTATAATTTGTAAATATCGATGATAAAAGCTTAAGATTAGACAGATGAAGAATAAAATACTATTTGATTTTGTATTTGTAATTCATTTATTGTTAATTAATTGTACAGATTTAGAATGTACATAAAGTATTTTCGATTTATTCGTGGTTTTATTGAAGAAGTGTCGTATCCTGGATCATTTTTGTTGAGAACGTGTATAGTGACTGTTTAGTATTCAGACTAATCATTTTCAGTCTTCTTACTATAGAATTTCTCCGACACAATAAGTCCAGAGGGGCTTACACCGATCAAAGAAGAAGTCAACACCATCAGACAATATCCCATATTTAGTTCTCTAACACAACTTAGACGTTTTCTAGGTCTTATTAACTTTTGTCGAAGACTCATATCACGTTGTGCATAATTAATGCAACCTTTGACAGATTCACTTAAAGGAAAACCAAAAGAATTCAAGTTTACTTCTGATGCTGTTGAGGCTATTAAACAACTAAAAGATAAACTGGCTTAAGGAACTACGTCGATGTATCAGAACTCCCTTTCCCCATTTAAAGTATTTTCAAGTTATTCGTGGTTTTATTTGAAGAAATGTAGTATCCTGAATCATTTTTGTTGTGAATGTGTATAGTGACTGTTTAGTATTCAGACTAATTAAAATAAACATTAAATAATACGATAGTTTTTATCGAACGGCTTAATGTATCAAATGAGAAGTTATGGTAAGACAAAATATTACACTAAGAAGCTAATCAATATCAAGATGCCGAGTATGACAGTGTTTATGCGAAATCTCCGAAAAGTATTACTAGTAGCTAGCGTCCGAACCGTGACAAGCCTATAAATAGATATTTTCATATGAACTTTTAGTTCACTGGACTTTCTAAACGGAATGTTCATTGTCATTATTCAGGGAAACTGGAGTGTTGTGGCATTGAGATAAATACTACATCATCAGTATGATGAATTTGCTGATATTTATCCGTCTGACGAGTATTAAATACGATGAAATCTGAGAATAATACTTACTGACTTAACTCCACGTAGCAATGTGATACTTCAGTTGATAAATCACATTAATAAGTAACTGAGATACACCCGATTTAAAATGTGACCATGATCAAGGCAATACTTCTCCTGAATAACATTGATCTAATATCAGTCATAATTTACATCTATTAAATGTTTATTTAACTGGAATGAGTTACAAACCATTTGAATCAAAGTAACACAATTAAATGTGAACGGAAATGGTAAGATATGTGATTATGATGATGATGATCATGATGAAAAGTTAATTCCATGATACCTGAGGTAATTCACTTTGATTTCTCTTCAAATCATTCTCACTCTAGAACTACATTTATACCATCTACATTTTCATTGGATATTGATGTTTTTAGCTGTATCATCTTGTCAGACAGATTTCATGTACTTAGTCGATTTCACCAAATTCTATTTGTCACCATTCCAGTTCGATAGTGAGCTATCCATCAGGAAGCAGATACGATCAGACAAATTCAATGTTTGTATCCATACTACTCGATATTGTTTTAGCTACATTGGTTGAAACACTTGATCTGAATAAATGCAGTTGTTTTGTTCAATACATCACCTTCATAAATAGTTCATTAACTTTTATGAATTCCTTCATAGTTTTTGTTGAATTCCACCAAAATCCACAGTGGATAAGTTCATTTATTCATTAAATGGAATCTTAATGTCGGTTATACGAACACATTTCATTTTTCCAATATAATAAGTTATCAGCTCACTTTACTCATGTTCCTCTCTCTTCCCAATTCTCACAGATATTATTTTATTCACACTTCACACACACATACACACTCACAAACAGACACACACCCTAGCTAGTAACATTACACTTTCTAGTTAACAATACACAAATCAGATAAACAATTAAGTAAGTATTACACATATCATTACTAATGATGAGAGAAGTAAAAGTTCCTCATAATTAATACGATAGAATGATGACTATTATTTTATCAATCAATTGTTTATTTAAAATGAATACTATTTAACAATGGAAACACACAACCATAAATCATCGACATACAAATCATATCTGGTCAAATGTCGGTGTAATTAAAATGCTGGTCTCTAAACAGCTGTTATATACTTTAACAAGTTAGTAACATAATAACTTGATTTCCAACTGTGATGTGTTAAAAAGGAACTATTTTATAAAATGCTGTCAATTCAATGCGGTTACACATTTCAAAGTCTCTTTATACAATGTTTATACAATAATTTGCATTGAATAAATGTCAAATGATTGTTTTCATTCAACCCATCAACAGTTTATACTTTTTATTCTGTTTCCTTATGATATGAATAAACAAGAAGTGAGTACACAATAGAAGGGTCATAGGTAAGATGTGTGAAAAAAAACGAAAGAAAAGAAAGAAAGAAAAACCAATGATTAGTTACTGTTTATGTATAGTAACTAATCTAATCAATATGGTTTCGCACAATCAACTTACGACTGTTAGATAATCATAAATCACTGGTCCCAGTTTACAACCTTTAGGCACTGACCATTCTCAAAAACATAGGTGACATGATCTGGTGTCTTCGCGCATCAAAATGAACATTTAATCTTCACACTACTAATTTGTCAATCAATCGTTTACATTTCTAACTTCAAATAATTCGTAATACTGAGCGACAATCATAGTTGTCTGATGCATGAAATAGTTGAGCTCCACTGGTCACAGCTTCTCAGTATAGACCTTTATGATCCTTATTCTAAACAGTCCAAATTATGCTTTTTACAAAGAAATAGTTGTTTCTCAGAGAGGACCATTCTACCAAATAACTGAGTTAAAATTTCATAGTTTGTACTTCTTATGTTATTTGAATCACGATCTGGTTTATTGGTTACTTAATGATAGATTGTGTTAGTAAGTGATGATAATTGGGGATAGGATAGTCACTGTGAATCTTTCATTCTAATAATAATCACAGAGTACTAATTAAATATTAATTTTAAAATGAAATTCTAGTAGAAATCAGCCAAGTTACCACATACATGATATCATTCAATAACCATCTTATACTATTCTAAATTGAATTCCATTAAAAATGGTAAACTATTCAATCGTCACTGAGTGGTCTACGGGTAACAAAATCATTGTGAGATTGGAAGTTGTTAGGTCCACTTGTATAGATAGTGGATGGGCACTCCTGAAGAGTTTTCAATTTTCAATCAGTTGATTTTAGTTTGTGATTAAAAAACAAGCTAGAAGATGACATGTGTTACACTTAGACTCTCAAATACCGACTTCTAAACCGCTTCCTACTCTCAACAAATCTCCTACTATTGAACTCAGAAAGTATGAAAGAAAGTTTTACTTTGACGACTAGTTAACGAACAGAAAACAAGGGTATTTATTGAATGATATACACGTGAAAAATGCGCTAAATTGACAACGATTTCGATAGTTGTTCAATCAAGATGATGAAAGCCTGATGAGTCACTTTCGAGAATTCTCTTGATGTCTACTAAGGAGGATAATTGGTCGGTGTATTCTCAGGATATTTTGCTTCTGACAACTATGTTCAACAATTTTCTACACCTTTTAACACAAAGTTGTCTGTACAATGTAAACTAGCGATATTGATCAGCTTCCAAATCTTGGATGAATTATTAACTTGTTCACAGTATCACGTACTCAACAGAAGTAACTCTTAACTTTAGTTCATCTATATAACAATGAGATTTTTGAGTCAAAAAGAGAGAGAGTGTGTGTGTGTGTTAGTATCTGACTACACTACCCTTTCCTTTGGGTTCCATGCACACAATACAGTAAATTAACACTAGATGTGAGAAAACGGTCTATCCTGAATTTCTTGATGTTTGTCTTCACTACACTAATTTTATGTTTTAAAAATAAATTGAATTCATCATGAATTAAAATCAACCGGATAATTATTGACAAATCATGAAGTGGTGGAACACTGTAAAGACCGTAATATCAAATGAAACAGCTGTCAAGTGCCTCATGTTCTTCAATATTTAGTTAACTTATTATAAATTTGAAAGGGAAAATTACTGCGAAGAGCATATGAGAAATACTCAGGGAAATCTTCAGAAGTTAGATATGCTTTGTTCAACTGGCGTTCAGAAGAAACCTCCCAAAGAGTTAGAGGAAAGGGATGGATTGTATGTTATATCCCAGTTGAATGATTGCCGATTTAGCCAATGGTGTCAGTATATTTCGTGAAGGTATTAAAATATAATGTTCACTCACAAATCTATCAGTAGACTTATATTCTGTACGTGAAATAACCACCGTAGTAAAACATTTTTTTCACACTTCTCTACCCTTTGACTTCAAGTGTAAAGGATTGTTGGGGATTGGGAAGAGTTTAGAAAGTTGTTGTCAAGCCTCCATATACCAGAATTATAAATTACAGTCAAATGTTTAGATGTGAGTGAATAATTAAATCCATCATTAACTTTCTCCTATTCAGACTTAAACTAACTGTCATCTGATAAAATCCATGTAGAAATGACGGAATTTTCAAACCTCATAGCTTACAGTGTTCATTATTTTAAAAAGTATCATGTTGTAAACAAGAGAAGAAACTTCTGAAGAAAAAATTTCGTATTTACATGTTACATGAGGATGATGATTAGACATACCAACTAATTGTTAGTTTCAATATGCTTGAATTAGGTAAGGGTTTTTCAATAGTTAAGACTTGTTCATAGACAAATGATAAGTGAAATGTATGTAAGTGTTAACAAAAAGCTAAGACTACCTCCAGTTCACAAAACAATTCAACATCCTGATTGCTCAATGATAGGTAAGTAATGATATGTTGTAGATTCTCCTTAATTTTTAATTCCAATCAAGATGTCTATTAGTGGCATCAATATTATTTGGCTAGAATATTACAAACGCGATAAGCTCTCATCAATTTCTCTTCATATGTGTCATCGTTACGCCAGTAATAATCGATGTCTTCATATGAAAATATAGCACAGGTTCTACTCATATATATGATGGTTTTCGTAAGTTTATAAATTATTCATCAGTAATACTTGTACGACAACCACCACCATCTCAGAGTGTATGCACCAGCTAACACAAGAATTTACCAACTCTCTTCCCC